GGTGCAAAGGACAGTGCTGAGAAGAGGAGGAGGATGGCGTCCATTCACAGAAAAACATGAGCGAGGTGTGTGTGTAGTCATCTTGGCGAGGCAGTACGACCATAGTACTTTTACGATATGTACCGTACTAAAGCAGAAGGAGTCATTTAAGTTCAGTGATAAAGTGTAGCATTAAAAGTGTAGCAAGTAAGTTAAGTGATTAAGTGATAGAGTTTATGATGAACGAAAGCGACCAAAAAAGAATGAAATGAAACGAATTCCTCCTGTCTCCTCTGCCTATCTTTTCCACTCTCCACCTCCACCAGCATCTTCTGTTAGCCCAAGTCATCTGATCTCCAAGGTAAATTCACCATAAAACCAGTTTATTTTTTTACATTCTCTTTTATTATGTTTTTAATGTTTTTATACAATATTTCTTATTTATACATTTTCCTTATTTAACCCTTTATCGGGCAAGTGGCCATAAAATTAGAAATTCGAACTGAACTCCCTATGGTGGATAGAGTAACTCAATACGAGGTCAATGAGCCTATATAAATGGATTTCTGATGGTTAGTTTTCGAGCAATTGCTAATCTCCGATGTCCGAAAATTTTTCCACTTGCCCGACAAAGGGAGTAAGAATCTGAATGTTGCAAACTTGCAATTGTTAATAAAACACCTAATAACTATTTTTTAAATTTATTATACAAACAGACAATATCAAAAACATAAATGAAACTTGTATCAAAACAGTTTGTATGTATTAGAAAAATATAAAAATGAAACAAATAGCAGCATGGACATATTGCAAAGGGATAAAACTTTCAAGTCCCATATTCCTGAGATTCACGAGGAAGACCAATTATTCTATATTGCTAATTGATGGTATGGTAGTTGCTGAAGCAATTTCTATTACTCTTTATGCACAGATTTACTTTGCATACAGGACACTGGAATGAGGATGTGACCAATTTCTTCGAGTAGCTGCAATACTTGCAATCGTAATACCTTTCTTTTTCTTCACTAATTTCTGTTTTTTGGCTGGCCTTTCTTCCTCCTCATCATCACTTGACACCTCTGCATCCAGTGGCAAGTATTCATCACCACTATCCAGCAATTCTGGGTCATCTACCTCTGGTTCTGAGTCACTGTCATCCAAAATGCAGACATATTTCGACCTGGTGCTGGAGGGCTCCCCATTAAACAATTTCTCATTGATCTGGAAGGACAATAAAAACCTTCTGTATAGATCCAGACCACTACAGAATTCATATATGCAATAGAAATTTTATAAATATTTATTTTACTGAAATTATACTATGTCACTTCTCGGGCAGGTACGAAAATTTTCGTACTTCCTTTGTTGCACTTTTTTCAACTGCATGCTACACTCACATTATGCTTCACACTGACTTTATTTATATATCAAAATATGCCTAAACTATTCATGTAAGCACTAAACACAACAATCAGTGCTTACCGACATTGTAGAAGGTAAAATCCAAGAGTATATTAGTGGCACTGGATGGAAAAAACCCACTCTGGGCGACGCCAAGCCACGAGTGTTTATGTTTTGATCTCTCAACCAATGGGAAGGCGGCAAACGCCATCATCACTTAGCTGAAGCGACTCAGGGAAGGCTTGTGATTGGTTAGAATTAAAGAACAGGAATCCAGATGCGCAGCGCGTGTAGGATGACACGAGTAAAGGTGCACGTGTTTAAGTCCGAAAATGTTCGGACCTGCCCGACATGTACAGTTTCTCCTTTCTGTTATGAGACTGTGTACAGCAATATTTCATTTAAGAAAGTATTGATGCCCTGAAGGGCATCATCATTGTCTTGACTTCTTTTGTCTGGAATGGTTATATATATGACCGAAAGCTAAACCCGCTGGGGTCACACAGCTCCTAGGGAATCGGCTTAAGTGTTTGAAACTGACCAGAAGAAGCTTTCTGTAGTTACATAGAAACCAGTTTATTTAATAAACCTGGCAATTTAAAATTGACATAGCTCATAATGAAAGCCAACCTTAAAAACCTGTAACAAAAAATTGGGGTGGGTTTTTGGGGGCTGGAACAAATTAATGGCATTTCAGTTAATTTCAATGAGGGCAATTGATTTTATATACAAGCAAATTGAGTTACGAGCTCGGTCATAGAACGAATTAAACCTGTAAGTCAAGGTACCACTGTACAGTATTTTACAAAGTTGATGTATCTTATATTTTTCAGATTTTATGACACAACTGCCAGGGATTGTGGGTCCAAGTCTGGCCATACAACAAGTAGTAATTGTGCCATGTGAGGAGCAGCAAGTTATGAAAATTGATGGTACTGCTACTGTTGTTGTCCCACCTCCTCACTCGCACATAGAGCCTCGGCCCATCATGTGCCATTTATTGTCGGCCCAGATGCGGGAAGGAATGGTAGGCAGGAAGGTAGGGGTAGACAGGGTTTTATATAGGCATAAAGGCATAACAGCTGTTGGCCATCATAATTTAATTTGCTGAGAGTGCTACACGCTGAAGAGATTTAATACAGATACTCCTCACATAACTACCTACCTGTTTAACGACCACTTAGACTTACGACCAGCTCTTTGACCATTGTAGTATGTGTGTATTTTACTTTTTTTATTGTTTTCAATGCCTAATTCTATTTTTAATATACTAAAACTGCTATAAGTGGTGCAAAGGTGACATTAACCCTTTGACTGTCCGTCATGTAGTTCTCCGGCTTTGAAGCCAGGGTCCAGGCTGTAGAACTACGCCATAATTCTAGTGGCTTCAAATTTAGCATGAGAATGGGTCTGCATGGTCAGTGTGTACAGTAAACAAAAAATTGGGGCACCCACATTGCATTGCGGAAATGCCATCTCAGTATGCTTTGTTCATCATGCCTTGCGGCAAGGAAGCTCTCACTCCCCAGCAAATTGGGACTCTACTCTGCCCAAGTGATAGTTCTAACACTGATGGAAGTGGATCTGAAGAGGAATTCTATGGTTTTGAACCACATGGTACATTGTACCATGTACAATGGTACCATATCGTACAACGGTACCATATGGTACTTTGTACGTTACGTTACATTGTACCCTATGGTACATTATACCATATGGTACAGGGACCCCAATGGAAATAAGTCACTCTGGTCTCATTTTTTTTTGGGTTATCCTAGGTTCTCCACACATACGCTGCTATGTATGATAATCTGTATAACTGTATTTGTGTATACCTGAAAAAACTTAACGACACCTCATGCGCTCGGGTAAATAAGTTTATTGAGGTATACACAAATACAGTTACATAGATTATCATACATAGCAGATTAACTCTGTGGCACTCAAGGTATGCTCAAGGCATATTCCTTTAACCCTTTCAGGGTTTCGGGCCGTACTAGTATGGCTTACGCACCAGGGTTTTTGGCGTACTAGTACGCCTAAATTCTAGCACCCTCAAATCTAATGAGAGAAAGCTGGTAGGCCTACATATGAAAGAATGGATCTATGTGGTCAGTATGCGTGGTATAAAAAAAATCCTGCAGCACACAGTGCGTAATGAGAAAAAAAAACTTTGACCGTGTTTTTGGATTAAAACAGCGACTTTGCACTGTATTTTCATATGGTATTTATTGTTGTATTCTAGTTTTCCCTGGTCTCATTTTATAGAACGGAAGACATATTACAGAAATTGAGATGATTTTGACTGGTTTTACAATGAAAAGTACCTTGAAATTGAGCTCAAAGTTCATTATTTAATTCTCTATAAGGATTACAATGCTGAGTTTACAGAATTTGGTTATTGTATTGTTTACATGTAGTAAAATAATAATTACAGAGTGTACCACTAGAACACCTAGCATGGCTAGGCATTTCGGGCAGACTTAAATTAAATCTTAAGTTTAAAATACTATTACAAAATTATGAGGTAAGTTGGTATTATGGCTAAGTGACTAAATACTAGTTTGTGAGTTTAGCAATGTGAATGCTTTTGTTTTGGCACCATACATAGTTTCAGTATTGGAGTATCACAGGCCAACTTATGACTAGTTAAGATTCATTATTTTGAGATTGAGATTGATATTTCTGTTTATGGTCAAATGGGTGAGTGAGTGTAAGTGTTAACCACCAGGTGGTATTCGTGTAATTAGTTGACAGGGTGTATCAGGGAGATAAGATGTTTTCTGATGGTAGTTTTGAAGGTGATGAAGTAGCAGAAATGTTTGATTTTTACCGAAGTTCAAAAATAAACAAATCATGCTATGTGTCCAATACACGTCAACTGGTGAGTCTGATATTCTTTCACAAGTGTGCTGATATTATTTATACCATTTCTACACTAATGCAGTAGTCTGCATAACAGTAAATCTTCTATTTTTTTGTGAGAATAAAAATTCAAAGTGGAAAGCAAAAGAATGTAAGAGAGGCGTGGGGACGTAACTAATGAACAGAGGAAATGTTATTTTAGTGCCAGTAATGTCTTTCTTGTTTATTCTGGACCCTATTCGGAAATTGGCATCTTTTGAAATTTGTGTGAAATTGGCAAAATTGCTAAATTCTGACCACTGTATTGGATAGTTGAAATTGGTAAATGGGTGGTTTCTTATACTCATTCGGTAGAAAAAATGGAGTTCTAGCGAAATAGTTATGATTTTTGTCAACTAGTACACTGGAATTGGCCGAAAATAGGGCTCAAATTGGGCAAAATCGCCAATGAGTAAACATCGTTGAGACCGCTAACTTCATGAGAGCATAATTCCATAAGTTTTCCATCAAATTTCATACTTCTGGTGTCGTTATGATCGGGAAAAGATTCTCTATCTTTTCATAAGAAAAAATATTTTATTTTTTTTTTTTGTTTTTAAATTTGGCGACCCTGAGAACAAGTCTCTGAGAGGGCCTGTTGACCCTGAAAGTGTTAAGAAATAGAAGGAGAAGATGTAAACTAGAAAGAGAGAGGCACTCCCTATACAGGCGAAGGCAAAGAATAACAGAGTGGCTAAAAGAGGCCAGTACATCTGCAATGTGTAGGGAGACACTGATCAGAGAAATAGCAAACACTGAACTAAAGCTAATGGAATCTTACAGGAGTCAAGAAATGTGGGAAGAACTAAAAGCCATAAATGAAATAGAAAGAAACCCAAAGTATTTCTTTTCTTATGCCAAATCAAAGTTGAGAACAACATCCAGTTTTGGGCCCCTACTTAAATGAGATGGGTCCTACACAGATGATAGCAAGGAAATGAGTGAGCTACTCAAGTTCCAGTATGACTCGGTTTTTAGCGAGCCGCTAACCAGACTGAGAGTCAAAGACCCAAATGAATTTATGAGAGAGAGACAGTATTTGGTAGACACAAACCTATCTGACATTATCCTGATGCCAAATGACTTCGAAAAGGTAATAAATGACGTGCCTGTGCACTCTGCCCCAGGCCCAAACTCATGGAACCGCATGTTCATCAAGAATTCCCTATCATATACTCTTAACATCCTATGGAGAGGGAGCATGGACATAGGGGTCGTCGCACAGCTGCTAAAAACAATAAACATAGCCCCACTCCACAAAGGGGGCAGTAAAGCAATAGCAAAGAACTACAGACCGATAGCTCCAACGTCCCATATCATAAAAATCTTTGAAAGGGTTCTAAGAAGCAAGATCGCCACCCATCTAGATACCCATCATTTACACAACCCAGGGCAACATGGGTTTAGAGCAGGTCACTCCTGTCTGTCTCAGCTACTGAACCATTATGACAAGGTCCTGGATGCTCTAGAAGACAAACAAAATGTAGATGTACTATACACAGACTTTGCAAAAGCCTTTGACAAGTGTGACCATGGTGTAATAGTACGTAAGATACATGATAAAGGAATAACAGGAAAAGTTGGGAGATGGATCTATAATTTCCTAACAAATAGATCACAAAGAGTAGTGGTAAACAGAGTAAACTCTGAGGTGGCTATGGTGAAAAACTGTTCCACAAGGCACAGTACTCACTCCCATCTTGTTTCTCATCCTCATATCGGATATAGACAGGGATATTAGCCACAGTGTTGTGTCTTCTTTTGCTGATGACACCCGAATTTGCATGACAGTGTCCTCCATTGAAGACACTGCAAGACTCCAGGTGCACATCATCCAAATCTTCAGCCAACTGATACTACCAACAAATTTAATGTCTTTTTCTCTACTGTAGGAACAAAACTAGCAAGTAAAATTCCAAGCACAAGCATTCAACCAAAGACTACCTTACTGGCAACTACCCAAATACAGTGGACCCTCGAATTTCATCATCCCTTTTCTGGATGTAAAACTATAGTTCTTCTTCTTCTTTCAACAAACCGGCCGTATCCCACCGAGGCGGGGTGGCCCAAAAAGAAAAACAAAAGTTTCTCTTTTTAAATTTAGTAATTTATACAGGAGAAGGGGTTACTAGCCCCTTGCTCCCGGCATTTTAGTCGCCTCTTACAACATGCATGGCTTACAGAGAAAGAATTCTGTTGCACTTCCCCATGGAGATAAGAGGAAATAAACAAGAACAAGAACTAGAAAAAAAATAGCAGAAAACCCAGAGGGATGTGTGGATATATATGCTTGTACATGTATGTGTAGTGTGACCTAAGTGTAAGTAGAAGTAGCAAGACGTACCTGAAATCTTGCATGTTTATGAGAAAGAAAAAAGACACCAGCAATCCTACCATCACGTAAAACAATTACAGGCTTTCGTTTTACACTCACTTGGCAGGATGGTAGTACCTCCCTGGGCGGTTGCTGTCTACCAATCTACTACCTAGGAAAACTATAGTTATTCACTAAAAATGTATTTTTTGTTAATATTTTTGGGTGTCTGGAATGGATTAATTGGATTTACATTAAGAAATAATGTAAATCCAGTTAATCCATTCCAGACACCCAAAAATATTAACAAAAAATACATTTTATAGAGAATAACTATAGTTATTGATTTTTTCTTTTTTGGGTCACCCTGCCTCGGTGGGAGACGGCCGACTTGTTGAAAAAAAAAAAAAAAAAAACTATAGTTTTACATTCAGAAAAGAAATCTCACTTATCATCAAAACACTAAAAACAGCAGACCTAAATAACTTACCACCACTCGTATAAAAAAGCTTCTCATGTTGTCACCCATTATTGCAACTCTTTTTAACAAATCCATTGAATCTTCCACCTTCCCATCCATTCTTAAGACAGCAAGAGTCACCCCAGTCCTGAAAGGAGGTGATCCAACTGAATTGAACAGTTATAGGCCTATATCAAACCTGCCCCTACTATCTAAAATCTTCGAAAAATTAATTCACAAACAAGTCTACTCCTACTTCATATCCCACAACATACTCAACCCTTGTCAGTTTGAGTTTAGACAGAAAAAAAATACTATTGATGCTATTATACATATGCTTGAACTAATATATTCTGCACTTGAGAAAAATGAATTTCCCCTGGAACTTTTCATAGACTTAGGAAAAACTTTTGATACAGTTGACCATGACCTTTTGCATCTA